CCCACCGCCCGTCTCCCCCCTGCCTCCGGGTTCACTCCCCAGCCACCGCCCGCCGGGCCCCACCTTCACTCTCTGCCCCCCACCTGCAGCCCCCCCCCGGTTGCGTCCCGCAGCCATCAAGGAAGTGGGAGCGCCCCTCTCCCCCCGCGCAGGGCAGAGTGAGCGGCTAGCGAGGGGGAGGGGCAAGGGTTATGCGCCGGGCACGCGCTGCCCCTGGCCAGCTCGCGGTTCGGCGCTCTTGGTTCCGGCCTCCAGACTACATAACAGCGGCGCCGGCGGCGGAGAGTGGGTCCGTTACTCTCCTGCTTTAGGCCTGTCAGAGCCCGACACCGCCGGCCAATCAGAGCGCAGCGCCTCAGTCTCGTCAGCTTCTGAGGCCGGGGCAAGCACCCAATGGGCGGCGAGAGCGGGCGGGACCTGTCACTGTCCGCGTGAGGCCTGAGAGGAGGAGTTAAGTTCGTTGCACCCGGATCCCGACCGAGGAAAGGGGCGGAGTTTGGTAGCACGTGACGAATGTTGGGTTTCTCGTTCTCTCCCGTCACATGATCTGGACCGGTCGCGGCAGCGTCCCGCACACTCCTAGCCTCCTGCTCCGCGCGCTGCCGGGGTGGCCGCGTCCAGGTGCCTCGTGGGGGGTTCGGGGCAGCAGCGACCCTGCCCCCCGCCGCGGGCCGGCGCTCGGCCGGGCAGGACGCTCCTAGCTCATCTCCAGGTATCCGGCGGGGCTGTGGGCGGCTCCGGCTTCCTGGTGCCGCTCACGGGACCGGCGCCGCTCACGGGACCGGCGCAGTGCCGGTGCTAACCCACGGGCGGCCCTGAGCAGGGATATTTACTGGGGGTCCCCCTCTGCACACAACACAAATTAATAGCCACCCCTCCCCCCCAGAGCTGCTCGGGGCCCTAAGCAGCTGTTTGGTTTGCTTCTGCCTAGCGCTGGCTGTGGCCCGGCCGCTGCTCCAGAGGGCAGGGGGCTGGCTCTGCTCTAGCCGGGAGCGGGCGGAATCAGGCTTCACTCCTTGGGGGGCGAGGGGGAAGTTTGGGGTGATGGTGGGGAGAGCGTGGGAATGGGGTGGGGGTAGCTGCTGAGGGCAGAGCCTTTGACCACGGGGTGCTCTGTGTGGGTGCTGACCCCCACCCCGGCTCTATGTGCGGGGCTGGTCGTTGCCTGGTGCCCTGCCTGCAGCTCCCTCCCGGCGTTGGCTGCTCTCCCCAGAGGTGGCTGCATTTCAGTGCTGTTGTGCAGAGAGCCGGTGCAGCGCGCTACGGCTCCCGCGGGCTGGGACCTGATTATTACAGATGATCCGTGCTCCGGAGTGACTCCCGGGCGGGTTGAATGGCCTATGTCTGTCTACCTGGGGGTTTGGGTGGGTTGCTCCCTCTTCCCAAATTTGTGCGGCAGACATGTAAGAGGGGTTGTTTGCTTTGGATCTTTTTGCTGTTTCTTGGATGCTCAAGTAAAACTTAAGAAAAAGGGGAAAGAAAAACATTCCACATATCTTAGTGCTTAAACTCACGGGTGAACAAGCATCTGTTAATGCCCAAGGCTCTCTGCCAGAGACTGTCACAAAAGAAAAGCAAGAACTTGGGTTCGTATGATATAGTTGAACTCAATGAAATTCAAATTGAAATTAAGGCTGACACTCTGCCTAGGGCACTGCAGCTATCCTGCATTGTGTAGCCATTTTAGCATATATGGTATAATCAGGCCATGCACTGTTCTGAGATCTCCCCCATAAATAGAGAATTGTACTACCTTGGAGTGAGTTAAAGATGAAGTGACAGCCTTTACCCTTTCCCTGCACTGCAAGACCAAACGTTCTTAGAGTTTGTAATGCTTGTTTGAAGTCCTTGCACTTTTCTGGAATGTGAATGTCTTATGAAATATCTGTTTTTCTGGGGTGTCCTCTGCTTCCCTCATTGAACTTTAAGTACTGTCCTTTCTGTTCTCTCCCTCTTCCCACTTTACCTTTCTCTCCATCAAGGACCTCAATTCTTGTACCCTTCTTTCTTCAGAGAACTCCACAGGATTGTTCAGTACTTGCTAATGCATCTTCATAGATGGATGAAATAAATGACTTCTTCACCCTTAAGGGATGACTGTTCTATGACTGCAGTACTCTTAATTTATAAAGGAATAGGCTAGGAATCAAACTGGGATTAGCTGGATGGCACTGCAGAACACTAGTAAGCTAGCTTCTAGCAGAAACCTGAGTAATTCTCCAGTGATTACCTGAAGGAAAGACCAGGAAATACTTAATGTGTCAGAATGCTCTACTAGGGGAATGTTTTCTAAAAGGAGAAGGTACTTCATTCAGTACTGAAGAGAGTAAAGCTGGAAATTAGTCACAGAAAGGTAGTTGACACTAACAACCATGCTATTTTGCTATGATAGTTATATTATTATTTCCAAATTTGAGTAGTAAAGATAATGAAATATGTAATCATTTAGAGTGCTGCTGTTGTATAAGATAATGAAACCATTATATTTACTGTACAGACTCTGCACTGTATTAGCCAGTATAGAAGCATATAACTTTTCCCCCAAAGAGTTCTATAAGAGTGTAAGGTTACAAAAGTCCTGGGAGGTTGTTCCCTTGTTCCTGGTATGCAAGCATCTTAGAATCATAGAAGATTAGGGTTGGAAGAGATCTCAGGAGGTCATCTAGTCCAACCCCCTGCTTAAAGCAGGACCAACACCACCTAAATGATCCCAGCCAGGGCTTTGTCAAGCTGGGCCTTAAAAACCTCTAAGGATGGAGATTCCACCATCATAGGATTCTTACTCTAATCCTATGAGCACAGATGCTTTTTAAATTAAATAAGTGTTTGCTTTCTATAGTGCTGGTACTTAGATGGGTAACATGCTCCAACCTTCTTGAATTTTTCATTTATGCTGGAAGTTTCCTTCACAATAGTTCTCCCACCAGTCTTTTCCCTATCTCTGCTAGCTAAATATTTTTGTTCAGCTCATCCTTCTTTGCTAATAATAGCGGGGCTTGCTTTCTTTCCTGCTCCATGGAAATGGAGAACTAATTTCTTAAGAAATTTGGACTTTGGACATTTCTGCGATAACTCTGTGTCTTCAAGTGACATCTCTGATGTAGTGGTTGTTGACCACCACCTTCCATCTCTTGCAGTCGGGACAAAGTTGTAAAACTTCCACTCAAGTGAGTAATTAAGGTTTTTAGATGCTTTCTAATGTAAACCCTTAGTCTAAGGAACAGGATTTTTTTTTTCATATAAAAGTTTTTGGGATCTTACTTTTAAAGAATCTTAATATAGAAGTGAATGCAGAGATGACCTGTAACATCTGTATCATTATACGCAAAAAGAAGAACAGGAGTACTTGTGGCACCTTAGAGACTAACAAATTTATTAGAGCATAAGCTTTCGTGGACTACAGCCCACTTCTTCGGATGCAGAAGTGGGCTGTAGTCCACGAAAG